TCATTAGATTATGCTCCCATGTGGGCTTAAAAATTACCCCCATTCTATCTATAAAAACTCTGGCTACAAACTTGCTTTACCTTAAGTTAGCAAAAGGGTTAATATTGCAATATGTGGCTGACTAATTGATAGCTAATATCACATATATATTGTGTATTAGTAATAATCATTAAGGTACTTAACCATCTAGAAGAGAGTAAATATATAGTATCAGGAAATAAGGCTCAAAATTATAACCAGCAGACTGTATATAAGATTTACTATTTTACTGGCAGTGGGTCTAAGACCTAATACTAAAGTACAAACTGACTTAGTGGAGCCCATTCTATATCGAGAGATAACCTTGTCCAGTCTAGACACAGGGTTGTGGGGGTGGAGAGGTGCCTTGGTCCTGCTTCAACTAGATGATGGGACAGGTTTCCTGTGGGAGGCCTTACCCTCTCTGTGGAGCAGATGGGAGGAGAGAAGAGTGGAGGTAGTGGGTAGAAAGGAGGGAGGGGGAACTGCAATTGTAACATAAAAAATAAATTAATGAAAAAGAGAAAAAATAAATAAAAAGATTTACTATTTCAAAAGTATGAAAAGAAGAAATTCTACCAGATGGATAAAAGAACTATTACCAAATACTACCTACTCTCAGTGAAAATTATGGATGCTTGGTGAAATGGCAGGGTTCTATTATATCTGTAAACAATATTTTTGTCTCATAGATAAGCCTCTGCACTAGGCCCTAAAATAAGCAGACTGGGGACATATGGATTAAATGACAAAATATCAACAAACTTTTGATGCTATTAACATTAGACCAGACTAAAAAACCACCTTTGGATTTAACAAACTTGGATGACCCTTTTAATCTAGTGCTATGAAAAACAGTCATAAAACTCAGTATTCTTTCTTAAAATATGTGATTTACTTCAAGTCTCAGTGGCATAATTTTCAAGTTGGTTAGACCTAAGTGATTGAGTGACCACTCAGTCTGAGAGCAGTTGTTACTGCATGTGACCTTACACAAGCAACTGAAATGCTTAATTTGGGTCAGTCTACTACAGTGTATGTCTCCATAATGTAACAACTCCATTAGATCAAAGGGGAGGCTATGGAATGGCACAAAAGAGAATGAGTACTATTTTTATACACAACACCAAAGTCAAGCTTCAGGCGTCTTCCACCTTAAACCCATAACTCTCCTGTCAGCAGATGAGATCTGCTTGAGAACTGTTTGTAGATACTGCAGTCATGTATGGTAAAAAAGTCAATCAAAATTAGCCTGCAAGAGATCTTGCACTACATGAATTGCAGCAGCTTTGTGGAACAAGGTAAGAGATATGCCACTTTGAAAAGATTAACAAAAAGTCAGTGGTTGTGAATTCTATTCAGAGTGTAAAAGGAAAGGTTGTTACTGGATGCCTTCAAGATTGATCAATCCCAATATGATGGTCTGAGGACATGGACTTGTTGTAGAAAATTATTTTAACTCTATAAAGATGTGTTACATTTGTTTATGCTCCAGAATATTACTTTAACTGTCTAAAGGTGTGTTACATTTGTTTATGTTGCATTTAATGATGTAAAGATGTGTGTTTAATTATGTAAAGATGCAATGCATCAGCCGGGCGTTGGTGGCGCACGCCTTTAATCCCAGCACTCGGGAGGCAGAGGCAGGCGGATCTCTGTGAGTTCGAGGCCAGGCTGGACCGACAGCCTCCAAAACAATACAGAGAAACCCTGTCTCGTAAAACCAAAAAAAAAAAAAAAAAGATGCATTGCATCTGTTTCACCTTGCCTGCCTAAGGCACCTGAATGGTCCAATAAAGAGTTGAATGGCCAAAAAGCTAGGCAGAGAAAGGATAGGTGGGGGGGCTGGCTGGCAGAGAGACTACACAGGAGGAGAAATCTAGACTAGAGAGAAGAATGAAAAGAAGAACAAGAAGGGTGTTTTAAGATCCTGGCAGTAGTGGTGCATACCTTTAATTCCAGCACTCAGGAGGCAGAGGCAGAGGCAGGCAGATCTCTGTGAGTTCAAGGCCTGCCTGGTCTACAGAGCCAGTTTTAGGACAAGTAGGGCTGTTACACAGAGAAACCATGTCTTGAAAAGCAAAAGATGAAATTACTTTCTTTGTTTGTTGGTTGCTCTCTGCATCACTTAGACATTGAGCAAAATTTTATGTACTTACATGCATAGTATGTTGCAACTTTGATTAATTCATTTGTGAGTTACAGTTTTGGTGAATAATACATGAGTTTTCAAATTAAATATTTTATTATTTGCAAATCAGATATTTTTACTCATTTCTTTCACATTGAAATGATTTTTTAAAATCAAGATGCCCTGGGTTTATTTATTCACATTATTTTTATTTATTATTTTTGCATGTATATCGGAGGGTTTGTGGAGGTGTGTATGCAATAGTGTGTGTGTGTGTGTGTGTGTGTGTGTGTAATGGAAATGAAAGGACACCCTGAGTGAATCAATCAGTTTTCTTTGTCCATCATGTGAATCCCAGTGATTAAATTTACATCATCATCATCTGCCTGCTGAGACATCTTATAAGCCTGAAAGGCCCTATATTAAGCCATGTAAGAAGTGGCAAGAAAAGATTTCCCTGTCTTATTTTGAACCACTGGTAGAAAGCATGACACAGCTTACCAGGGAATATGAGAGTAATGTGTAATATCTATAGGCACCTTTATAAGTTAGATGTCTTGACTTCCAACCCTAGATTATTGAGCTTTTAAAAAAATAATATAAGACTGTCAACTTTTTTCTAGGTGTTTTCCCACATCTATCGAAACAATAATGTATATCTTTAATTATATTGATGGAATATTGGCCCCCAAATGTTTAACCCACCTTTCAACACTGTGATAAATTCATCTGGGTCCTGTTGCACACTATTTGTATGTTCCTGGATTCTTTTTGCTAGTATTTTTGCAGGGGATTTTCATTCATATTCATAAGTAATACTGATGGTTAATTTTCCTTGTTTTCTATGTTTTTGCCTTAGCATCAGGTAATGCTGATCTTAGAATAGTTTGACAAACATTCCATCATTTATCTTTAAGCTTTATTTATGTTTTAAATGATTTTATTTTTGAGAAGATACATCTCTATAGCTCCCTCATGTCTTCTCCCCTACCCTAATTCTACTGGATCACTACCTCTCCCCCCTAAATTCAGAATTTCTTCTTTAATTAGTATAATTACACATTATATGAATTCTGTTGTTGTTGAAATCAGAGATAACACCAGCTTTATTAGTTCCTTTTCTATTGCTGTCATAAATACCACTACCAAGGCAGTATACATTAGGAAGGGCTTGTTTGGATTTATGGTTTCAAAGAGTTGGCAGCCATAATGACAGAGACAGCCTGGCAGAGGACAGCTAACATGGCGGCTGGACCTGAAAGCTAGGAGCTGAGAGCTCACATCTCGCACAGCAAGCACAAAGCAGAGAGAACACGCTGGTAGGAGGAATCTTTGACCTCTCACAGCCCACCCCTGTGGCACTCTTCCTCTCTCATGTGGGGTTTGTGACAGAGCCTCTTTTCCTTCTGAGTGAAGTAATTTCAGTCATTGTTCTTTTCTCATGGTCAAATTCACTAAAGTTTGTAAATTTGTCTCTCTTTTCAAACAAGCTTTTGGCATTATTGAGGTTGTGTACTGTCTTTTCTATTCTATTCCATTAGCTTGTATTTGCATCATTATTGTTTCCTTCCTCCCACGTGATTTACATTTAATTTTCTCATACTTTAACACCTCATATAGAAGTTCAGCTCAATGATTTCAGAACTGTGTTCTTCGTCACTCTGGATCTGTCTAGCTCTAAATCTCCTTGGGAGTGTGTTTTAGCTGCATGTCGCAAGGTGTTATGCTTTCTCATTCATGTCACATTATTTTATGCTTTAAATTCTGATTATTCTTTAATTCATTATTTAGCAGATAATAAAATGGTAGTAATAATCATAAATTACTGTTTTCAAGAATTTCCATACCTGACTGCACTTCATCTACACTTTAGAAACCCATGAATCACCAGAACACATGTATTAACAATCAGTTCACAGTAGTGTTTGTGGAGTGTTGCATCCATAGGCCTTACCATTTCCCTAGAAAAATCCATATATATATATATATATATATATATATATATATATATATATATGTGTGTGTGTGTGTGTGTGTGTATATAATAATACTAACAAGGATATTAAGCCTTATTAAGTTCTAATTTTGCTCTCCTTTTTCCTGCTTCATTCTCTATTGTGAAGGAAAGTATTCACATTCTTTATCTTAGCATCAATCACTGTGCTCACTGACTTCTCTCCATATTTCTAGGTACAGGAGATCAAATTGGCCTCATACCTCCTGCTGAGGGATGATACAGATACTGATCTATTATCAGTATTGAGAAGCACTTGGTAGGAGCCTCTCATGACCTATTTTACAGCCTCTAGGGAACAAACAGCATACTTCTGTGTTTACCTGCCCCAGGTTGCCATTTACACTTACCAAGTTCCTCACTCAAGGATCAAGAATCAAGAGTTAGGTTGAAGGTTATAGTTGAAGAAGAGAGAACAAGAGAGCCAGTCTCCAGAGGTTTGCCCCTAAACCCACCATCTTTCTGCATAAGGTATGTGAAGGGTGGCAACAGGAAGATAACCACAATACAAGCATTGCTGTCAGTGTGGAGGGGAAGACAGCTCTAGTATCCAACACTGCTATCACTATGACTTCAGAGAAAGACAGCCCCTGTACCCAGCATTGCTATGAGTACTGTCAGGAGGAAACCACAGTGCATATCACTCACAATATTGCTTCAGAGGGAGATAGGCTCAGTGTGCAGCCTTGGTGTCAGTATTGTTTCAATTACTCTTTTCTGCAATCACTGTCCTAAGTGTCCAAACAAAACCCAGTTTCAAATGATCATGTCTACTTTTAATGCGGTCAGCCTCATGTAACAAGCATTCTGAATGATTTCTCCTGTAGATTTGGTCAAATGCAGTTATTTTCAATGTGGACCAAAGTTGTTTTCATCAACTTGGCCTTTGCTCTTTATTCTGGTAAGTTTTCAATCTTGGGTAGAATGTCTGGTGTGTTGCTTTAGTAAGATAGGAGCAGAATGATTGTTGTATTGCCTTTTCAGTTCTTAAATTGGTAAAATAAGAAAAAGCACATTATAAATTTCTTACAAATATCTTGTTAAATAATACCTTTTTTATTCTCTACAATAGGGAAAGAAATAGAATGTTAATTTGGTTTTTACAGCACATTTAATACTTTTCACTTTGCTGAATTCAGGAACTTTTGACTGATTTTTACAGTTGATGTTTTGGGGAGATTTTATACTCTGGTTGCTAAATGCAAAGCTTAGGGAAGGAACCCTCTTTCCTAGGTCTGGCATGCTTCAACACTGAATTGTTACTTTTAGCTCCCAACCCTGACACCAAAGATACATATAAGAGTACTTGACACCTCAGGTGATACTACCCTCTCTACCATTAATACTTCATAATGAAGTAGGTGTCAAATATTGACAAATATCCTGATGCTAGAACACAGAGCTCTAAAGTCACTTTTTGTACAGCATCTTCTTCTATCCTGATTAGGTTTCTCTAATGTAAATCCTTTAAAAGCTGGCATCTTCATGATTATTGGAGACTTCATTAGAAGTTATAGAAAACGTATATAATTTTTTGTGGAGATACATTTACTTGGCTACCAACTTTTTAAAAGTATTTAGATATGTTTGAGACTTTTTTTTATCTTTGTTACTCACATAAATGTCTCATCTCATTAGTGGGAGTTCCTTGAGTAAATCACTGAAACACATTTATGCTACCATTGTATCTGTGAATTGCTTAGTTTTAAAACTGTTTTTGTTGTTTTAGAAACTGCTCTCCCAAAATATTCAGTACAAAGAATGCAAGTAAGTTACTAGTGAATCATTTGCAATTTGAAACATAATTTTAAATGTTTGTCAAGTTTTAAAGTCTCAGTAAGACTTCCCAGAGTATACAAAGATTCAAAAAAATTAAAAAATATGTATTTATGTGTGTATTATTATACCAAAGTCAAATAACATAATCAAGCAAGCAGTATAAAACCACATTGGTGTGATCTAGGTATGATTGAAGCGGTAATGTATATAAGAATGTATTTAGGACAGCCATTGGCAAGTATTAGCTGCTTTTTACAATACTGAGATACACAAGCTTACGTAAGAGTAATATTATTCTTCCTAACAAAGAGATATAAAGTAGCATACAATTATCAATTTTTAGGAGAATACATAGTAACAATCCCTATTTCATATATATGTGTGTATGCACGTATCTATCTATCTATCTATCTATCTATCTATCTATCTATCTATCTATCTATATTATATCATACCATGGTAGAAAATGTATAGGTATATATTATATATTATACTATATCCTATTATGGTAGAAAATAAACTGTACCTTTAAATTTCAGCATATATAAAGGTCACAAGGTTATGTAAAAACAAATAATATAAAAACACATATAGCATTCCCCCATCCAAATTGTCAATATTTCTAAAGCTATACAAAATATGTAAATGTAGCGAGCATATGTATATTAATTAGCAAAAACTTGAGAGATGGAACAGTAGACAGCACATTCAGCTTCATGCTGTTGTCAGTGTGGTGGGAGTGGTAAAGTCTGACCCGAGAAGGGAAGGTCACTGGTGAAGGGAGTGACCACTACATTATCAAAGCACGCAGAGAAGCTGCCACCTTCCCCACACTGGGAACAACACTTCAGTAAAGACGTGGAAGCCGAGAGAAAGCACTGAAAAGCAAGTGTTTTAATAAATACAGAACAGAGAACTGGTTCACAAAATACCATCTTCAGGAAAGTTCTTTATTTAAATGGCAAAGTGTATGACTCAAAGAACACTAGTGAACTTCATTTCTCAAGGATTTAATAACATCTAACTTTAGTTTTAGAGAAACTTAGCTGGCCATTTAAAAACTTGTCAGGTTGTATAGAAAAAAAACAGTTGATATTATAGTTCTTGGAGTTTTGAGAAAGAATAATATTAGCATGACTGAAGGACTCTTGATAATAGTGTACACATTTAATATACATATACCTAAAGTATGATTTAACTAGGTGTCAATGTTGTAGAACAACTACACTGTACCTTCTGTCTTCTCTTTCATGGTTTGTTATGATGAGAACGAATGGTGTGCAGATATTCACAATCCTTCTTTATAAATACGTATTTGTAGTCACAAACTTGAGAAGTCTTTACTAAGTTCCATAGCTGGCCAATGGCCAAGTTTGTGTGGTCCCTATGCTAAGAGGAATTTTAGTATTTGTAGATAGAAAAAATACAAAAGGGTTTTCTTTGTATGTGAGCCTTATAGAATATACAAATTTCAGAGTCTAAAAATGAAGGACAGACACACACACACCTTTGCCTGCATATTATCCTGCATAATGGCAGATTGGAATGCGGCACCAAACACCACCGACTCCCAATGGTTGTTTATCCTACCTGGGCCTTTACAGAACTGTCAACTTAGCAGCTCTATGATTCAGATACTAAGTACATATGTTTTATCACAATACCTACAGTATATGACCATAAGTAAATATAATTCAAAACAAGATAAATAACAACAACTTAAGGTTTGGCTTTATACATCTTAATAAATTTGTGTTCATTTAGCTGACATCAATTTTTAAGTTTTCTGTTCTAGTTCATTTTAGACTGAGTAGTCTGTGTTCTCTAAAAGTTGATAATATTGCCAAGAAAATAGAATGCCTTGGACGACTTCAACAAAAGTATTGAGACTACTTCCTTAGCTACTGGACTGTGGGTGTGTAGGTATTTGTTTTTTATCCTAAATATACATTATGCTATCTCTTGTTGAATGTATGATATATCATATTTCAAGAATATTATAATCAAATGTTCATTATTAAATAATTTTTATTGCCTTTCTCTTACAGATAGACTGTAAACCATATGCACATTATGCTGACACGTGTCCTACAGAGTATTATCCAATCTGTGCAACTAATGGAAAAACTTACTGCAATAGATGTATTTTCTGTACTTCACTGAGGTAAGAATGCAACAGTAAATATTTGTTCTTCCAGTCATGAATAAGATATTACACAATGATATAAAGATTCATATTGTTTGTAATCTATGCACATTAATGTATCAAAGATAACTATATTTTATAAAAACCAAAGAAATGTACTTCTAACTCCTCTTCAGAGTATTACTTGGGAACTGTTAACATATCTGTGCTGTGTCTGGTAAAGGTGTGGATTGATTAATTTAACTTAATTTGGTGAATTGTGAAGTACTAGTGGATAAGTAATAGCTACAATGATGTAATTTGGAAACTATGATATTAACCATTGTATCTCTGTGATGCCACAAGACTCTGCCTTGCAAAATTCTAGCTACCAGCAACATAAGCAATTAAGAATCAGATTGAATTCTGAGCTTTAAAATTCACCATGGACAATGAGCCAATTAATGCTAAAAAGAAACTCGTGTGATGTCAACTTTGTCTCTTGAAGTTGTACTGTCACCCCTCAATACCTTCCTGAGAGCACAGGACACTCTCAGGTGAATTCTTATCACTTTGTCCTTCATTCTGAAAGTGTTTGGTGTCTAAATTCTTTACTCCTCACTTCCTTGTGCGTGTTTCTCCTCTATCAAAATATTTGCCCATTTATTTTCCAAGTAATGCATGCCTCTTGGCAGACCTAGAATTCCTTATGGCTCTTCTTTCATGGATCTGGTGTGATTTTTGACTGAACGCTGTCAAGGATCTCCACGGTAGAGAAGGGCATCGAAAGGAGCTAAGAAACAAACAGACACAGCTTCTTTTAGAATAAATCATAGTCTTTCCAACATGTCCCAAGTTCAAATCCTCACTTGTAAGTATATAAGCATGTAAATTATTCAAAAGGTGTAATTTTTAATGATTTCTTTCCTTTTTTTTCTTTTGGTTCTCCAGGAGAAGTGATACTGTTTTCCTTTTTGCTCATTATGGTAAATGCTGACATTTTCTGGAACAAAACATCCCAATGGCTATAATTATGATACCTTTTTTAAAGTTAGAATGTCTTGGTGAAAATCTTCCATTCAGAGAAGACCATGTGAATCATACTATATGGCAGAGGATTAAAAACTATGCATCCAAGGTTGCTCTCAACAATAGGAACCTACATTTTGGGATTTCCATTTTCTATGTTCATTAATAAAATGACAGTGTGATACTTACACTAACAACCCTAACATTTGGGAAGCTGAGGCAAGACTCACTGATGTGAGTATGAGCTGGGCTACAGAGAAAGTTGATCACAAGCAACAAAATCCTTACCCTAATGTTGTGTTCGAAACCCCAATTCAATTTAAAGCTCTATGTATCTAAATATTTTGCTCAATAAAATGTTAAAAACGTTAAACTAAAGTGTTATTAAACATATTAGAGTGCTTTTTTTCATTTGAGTGCATAGTGGCTTAAGACATATTTCAGTACCCGTGATCTAAGAGATATTGCCAAATATCATATTACTTGAGAGATTTTTAAATAAATGAGATATCTTAGATTATCTTCATCCTAAAGTTTTGAAACATCCAGAGGAGACTTTTGAGCTGTTAAAAGACAAGAGGTCTCTCAGGTTACCCTCTCATGAACCTTAGAGAATCATGATGTAATCCCACATCACTTCATCTCAGTCAAGCTAGAAAAGGAAGAGATAAATAGCATGAACTCACCAGCGGAAAGATTTCATTGGAGAGGGATGGAGGTTTAGGTAGAGGAAAACGGACAATACTAATTTGAAGAGATTCGGGCTGCCAACTAAAAGGAACAGAGCTAAGTCCTTTATTTGATCATTTATGTTGGCTGGAATCTGGTAATTTTCCACTCGTCATTAGTATAATATTTTTAATGTTAATAAAAAACCAGTTCCTCATATTTAAAGTAGCTTTCCCTTGAATAAGATAGGTATCAGGGCCTGTTTGCCCTAGAGACACGATGGCATCCCCATGTTCTGGCTGGTTTCCTTCCTTGGGTTTCAGAGTTGAGAATAAAGAGAAGCACATTTCATAGACTGGTAACAAAGTTGGTTAGAGAGATGCACAGTTAGTAACTCTAGGCTAGCAACTCCTAGTTATCACTCTTCTGTAGGTGATAGAAGATTGGATAAGTGTCTGAAAATTCTATCTGTCCCTTGTCCCTACGAGGGTTACTGTTTAAACCACAAGCATAGCCACAAATGTATGTAGTTACCATAAATTTGAAAATACAGAAGGTGGAATAGGATTCAATCAAGCATGTTCAGTGCTGGTGAGGAATGAGAAGGACTATGTACTAATATACAGTGGGGAAACTATGAAAACAACATCAGGGCACTATGTATTTCAAAAATCTAGAGGCACTGGGAAAGTTTTCATGACAAAGTCATTATAAATAAGACAATATATGTTTAACTGTTTTAAAACTACTAAATAGTAGGTGTACTACACAAACATCACATATTATTTTATATTTGTGTTATTTATATTTTTATTTAAGGGTAAATTAAGAAAAACATAGAAAGTATAAAAGAAATTGTCTATGGGGACTTATGGGAGGGGAGAAAGGGAGGGAGGGAAAGACATATGAGATAAAATATACTTTCCCTGAGATGTCCTGTGCAATACAGGACCAAGTACAGCAAGTGTACATGTTGAGAATTTTAATTAAACAGTGCATATATGTGCACTCATGGGTCTCATGTTGGTTTCTTTTCTTAGTGACTTCTACCAATCAACCTATGTAAAGGCCATGCTGGGTATGGTGGTGTAATCCAGTAACTCCAGGAGTCATAAAGCAAGGACTGTGGATTCAGTCCAGCCTGTGCTACAAAGTAGGACCACTGCGACTGTGCAGCTTGGATATGGTGTAGAGGCCATTTTGTCAAAGAGAAGGCTAGAACTCAATGATTTTAACCGCCACATGCTTTCCCAAATGCCATTTTAATAAAGAACTCTAGGGAATCCCAACTTCATGCCCCACTGTGCTTCCCACTTGATTCTAGAATTCATCAGATCATTACTTTTATAACTTAAGACACTGTCCACTGTGGCCTGGATTCCCCCTCGCTATCCTTTCCTCCTCTTTCTGCTTCTGCACCCTATCTTCACCCTCTAGTGCTGGCTGCTTTGACACTCTTCTGGGATCTTTCCAAATGCACCACTGCCTAGGCTTCTTATACAAGCAACAGATTTGCTGTTTGGGCTGTGGGAATGGCATGGGTTAAAAAAATTCTCTAGCAGATGTCTGCTTCTGGCTGTGTATTTGTGCTACAGGTTTACAAATGTCCCACTGGGTTACTGGTATGCACCTCAAAACAAAACATCTAATAAAAATACGATTTTCTATTGAGCCTGCCAAGTGTAGGCATATTAATTTTATATTAGTATCTGATCTAATTTTTCTGACGAAAACATGAGGTAGGATTTGTCCAGTCACAATTCTTCCAATTTATTTTTCTTTTCCCCTTTATTCTCTTGTTCTTTTTTACCCAATAGTTTGGAATGCTTCCCCCACCTCACCCTCTTCCAGTGTTGCCTTCTCTTTCTGTTTCCCACACCTCCGGATAAATCAGGTCAAACTTTACCTAACTTTCCGCTGCAAGAACTATTAAGAACAAGTGAGGTGCATCTTGTGAGCTAAGTTGCAGCCTCCAGGGGGAACACAGGCTACTGCTGTGATTGATCTGTGCTGGCTTTTGATCTTGCTCCCAAACAAGTTCTCAATAAAAAAAGCATTATGAACTGCAGCTCCAGGGAAGTGGCCAAGAAGAGAAGGCAAGCAGAACATTAACGCCCAGAGCTGTTGGTGTCTCTTCACTGGCTTTGCTGGTCCTGATAAGAGATACAGAGACGGCTGGAGACTATCCAGGAGCCTAGAGTTCCCACAACAACTTCTCAAGGTCTTTCTAAAACAATTGTTTCTGAAAATCTGAGATTCCAATATGTGTATTTCTTGACATGCAGAGAGTCTCCTGCTTTGCTGAGCCAGTGGCTGGGAGAATATGTACAATGAGGGCCTTTCATGTCTCCAGGAGGATTCTGAACTTCTGGTGTTTGTGTCTTATTGATCTTGAGATTAGTAAAAGCCATAATTAAGAATCTGGGAAGGGGCTGTGTGGTAGTTCCTTAGTCTGTAAGAAACTTTCCTTTGGAAATGTATTATAGATGCTTTTAAATGATTGTTCCTCAGACTTGATAAAATGTCTTCCTCTTTATTATGGATCAAAATCGTTTTCATCCTGGCCTTGGTGTTTCTTCTTTATTATGGTAAGTCAATTTTTGACTACTCCCCTCCCAGGCATATAATGTTGGAAGCATCCATTGCAATTCAGGAACAGATGAATTTTAAAAGTTGGATTGAAATATCAAATGGTAAAAAGCATTATGTTACAAATTGCTTTAGAACTTATACCAACAAATTGCTTTTACCCATGTCCTGTCTCAGAGAACTGGAGCATAGACCCTGGATTACAATAAGTAGCACAGTCAGAGTGCAGCGGTGTGTGCCCATAGGCCAGTTACTCAAAAGTAGGAGGAAAGGAAATTGCTTGTGTCCTGGAGATCAAGGCCAACTTGGACAAGACAGTCAGAGCTCATCTCTTTTAAATGTAAACCTTAAAATTTATACTTTGGATTTTTGAGTTGATGTCGTTGATCTTTTGTTAAAGATATTTACCCTCATCCTATTTTGTAGGACACGTTCCAGCATTGTTAAATGCAATGTATGGGGCTACATGGTGTCATCCAGACCTGGTGCTGCTTGACATCATCATTTGTTGTTTGTCAGCTGAGTCCTGTAAGCCAAGGTCTGTGCTTAGAGAGAAAACACAATGACTCTTCCACTGACAAATCATAAATTTCAGAATAAATAAAAGAATTGTGAAAGATTAGATCCAAGAACTAAATCTGAATAATCATCATTTAAATTTACTATATGTCTTTTATGCAAGGCAAATTAAGTGACTTTCTTACAAGGCATTTTTTTCTCTGATTAGGCTATTTCGCATATAAGGGGAAACTATGGTATCTTTAAAAGGAAAGTTTTAGAAATTGATAAACAATAACAAATATTTCCAGATTTGAAATCATTCTACAAACACATTATTTTGTTACTACCAAAAATTCTCACCTTACTTCAAAGGTCATGAATAAGCAGTTTGCACAGGTTACTTCTATACTGTGCAAGCTTCACACCGTAGACTATATTTTCCCTTCTTCTTATTCTTAATTTTTCTTTTATCTGCTGGTTTCAGAAACTACTTTTGCGTTTTCAACAAAAGTCCGTCCTAAGGTAAGTTAACACTGCTTAATTTGGCAGCTTTTAGGAGCCAATGGTGTTGAGGACACCATGAGAATCTGGTCCACAGAATCAACTAAGCAGAGCTCATGGGGGCTCACGGAGACTGAAGTGGCAATCTCACGGACCATGCCACTTCATGGGTTTGCTCTAGGTCCTCTTCATATATGTGATCGTTATTTATTTTGGCATTTTGTGGGACTCTTAACGGTGGAAATGGGGGTGTGTCTGACTCTTTTGCCTGCTTTGGGGACACTTTTCCTCCTACTGACTTTTCTGGTTCAGCCTCGATGTGATGTAGTCCTATTATAACTCGATATGTGTAGTCCTATTATAACTAGTTCCAGCCATGTTCAGTTGATACCCCTGGGAATCATGCTCTTTTCTGAAGGGAAATGGAGGAGTAGTGGATCTGGGGAGAGGAGGTGGGGAGCACTGGGAGGAGTGGAGGAAGAAGAAACTGGTAATAAAATTTTTAACTGAAGTAAATGCATGAATAAAAAGGTAAACTTTTAGTCATTTTATATATAATTTTTGTTGTCAAATACCAGCAAACAAAATCTATAATAGGATAGATCTATAAAAATTAAAACCAAACAAAATACTTATATAATTATTATTGCATGAAGGTCAAGAATGGGCCTTGCCAGAGGCAAAACTCAGAGGTTAAAAATGCCTACTGGTCTAAGAGAGGAACCATATTTGGTGCTCAGCACCCATGTGGCAGCTCAAAACTGTCTGTAACTGGTTCCAAGGGATCAACTTCATCTGACCTCCATGGGCTCTTGCATATGTTTGGTGCACATACAATGCACTCAGGCACACATATGCATGCACATAAATAGTAATATTCTTGCCAACCCTATACAAATGTTTAGCATCATGGACAAGATAAAATATCCCATTATTAAAAAAATCCATTAATACCAAATCCTTATTGTATAGAAGTATCTAATATATTTAAAGTAGACTTATTTTTCTAGCAAGGAAAGATTGAAAGTAATTGAATAATCTATTTAACAGTAGATTAATAATAATTTTTCAGATATTAACATGTTATAATTTTATATAGACATGTAGAACTGTAGTCCCAAACAATGAAATAGGTAAAACGTACAAAGACATTGAAAGGCAAATTCAACAGGAAATATGCACTGTTGCCTATTTCTGTAAATCACTAATACTCTCATTGTCTATGTCTGTTACACATATATACAAAGGCTCGCATATATGAGTATATATGTCTGCCATGAATGGTTTAGAAGGATAAGAGACTGAAAGGTAAATAATTAAGTTTTATGATCTCTCATTGCATAAAATAATGAGAGATTTAACATGAATGTGAAAAGATGTAGAGACAGGAGAACTCTTTATAATATTCAGATATCCAATGCACATCTTTTTAAAAAATCAGGTTTATAAAAATATGTATCAATAGTATAATGTATTTAGGTTAGCAAGATCACTCAGTGAATAAAGGTGCCTGCCACGAAGCCGGATGACCTGAGTTCAATCTCCAGGGCCTATACGTTAGAAAGAGAGACTGACTCAGGCAAGTTGTCCTCTGACCTCTACATGAATGTTGTGGTATGCACGTACTGCACACATACACAAATAAATATAATTATATATGCATAACATTTGAGTTTGGGTACCTCAATGTTTTTATCTAAGCCTTAATATTTAACTGTTCTTTTTTTCTTTTATCATTTTTTATTTTAATTTTAAATAGCTTGTTTTACATGTCAATCCCAGTTCCCTCTCCCTCCCCTCCTCCCGCAATCCCCTTCCCCCCCAGCCTCCCACCCTATTGCCAAATCCTTCCACATAGGGGATATCTAGAGTCTGTCATTTCACTCTACATGGGGCTTTCTTTCCTCACAAAGATCACTATATAATAAACCTTGTATTGTCTCTTTATCTCTGACAGCCTAACTGTGACCTGTACAAAAATTTTCCAAATAAGTGTACCAGGGAAAAGGATCCAGTTTGTGGAACTGATGGACATACTTATAGCAATGAATGTATTTTCTGCAGTGCCATGATGTAAGAACATATGATTAAATGTTCGATTTTCCTAAGTAATGAGGAAACTATAAGGACACGATTAGAAACCCCTGTTTCTGATAACCCAGATACAGCATACACAGACAGTAAACCCTGGTACTACTAAGGCCATAGGAACTCACTTGCACCTTTCCTTTAATTTTTCATTTGCAAAACTTGCTTTTTTATTTGACCTTTCAGTAGAACTCTGATGAATACTTTGCAAATATATCCACCGGTTAATTTAAATGAATTATTAATGAACTGTTAGCAGCATACTGGTAAACAAGATAGCATAATTCCAAATACAAATGCTGAAGAATAATGATCCTGATATATGAGCAGAATACTCAAGTAGAGAACTCTGAAATCCATCCCAATTGAATCTAATAATAAGGAGGAAAGTCTCTGGAGATCCACATTGCCTACTGGACTTGTTGACAGCTTCCTAACATTCCTAAGGGCCAGGGCAATCTGGGAGCACTCCCACTCTCCATCCTCCCTGCCATATCATTCTGAATCACATTCTTTTATTGTATAAGGAGTGTGTAAAAAACTGCTTATTGAGGGCTGCTGAGATGGCTCAGAGGTTAAGAGGTTAAGAGCTGCTCTTGGCAGAAGTCCTGAGTTCAATTCCCAGCAACCTTGTGGTGGCTCACAGCCATGTGTAATGAGATCTGGTGCCTTCTTCTGGCCTGCAAGCATATGTGCATGCAGAACACTGCATACATAATAAATAAATACATCTTTAAAAAATGCTTAATGAATGCTAATAAATTCATACATTCGACTGTATTCCTACCTTACTCCACATTTTCCCTCTCTCAAGCGTTTCCTTCCATTCTGCTTCTAGAGGACAACTAAGACATTCTCTAGTCCTCTTGTCTTTGGATCTGAGATGTTCCCAAGGCAGAAGCAGGACTGGGATTTTAGGAAAGATCAAGAATCCCAACCTGAGAGATAGGACACATGTAAGTGTGGAGAATTGGTGGGACGTAGCTGCTGGTAGGTGAAGAGAGAGTCTCTGCATCAATCCATGCCAGGTGGTCCTCATTATAAGGCATTTACTGCAGTATAGGTTACAAGTGCTAATTGAAAATGGCAGCTCAAATCTGTGTTTTCCTTCTGACTTCTTTATTTGCAGAACCTCTGAAGAAAAATTTGATTATCGACATCATGGTCCTTGCTGAATTTTGTATGGGTTACACGTAGCCCATCCTTTTTCATAGTGGATCCTGCAATCAACTAAAATTTCTCAATTAGTGCTTCAAATTCCTAGACAACAAATGATGTCTTTTGTGGCTGATCAGGTAGAATACAGGATATTGAAGAATTTCTCCAACCTGTAATTGAAGGATTTTATTTCAGTTATTTAATGACAATGTTAAAATTGTTATCTTAATTTTGTGTTTGATAATACTCATTGTAACTGTAATCGTAAATGTTTCATCCAATAAAATTTTAAATGAATTTCATCTTTGTTAAGAATTCTTTATCTTGGAGGCAGATAGTTAAGGTAATTGAATACTTTTAGTAATTATAATTCGTTGATACAAAAAAAATACAGCTCTTGCCTTGAAGGCAATAAGAGATATTTTTGGAGCCATTTTGGATAACTGTGAACACAGATTTAGGTTACCCCAAATTCCATGTTCCAGCATGGAAGCAGTTTAATAGAATTTATAGTCTTACAGAACAAAAAAGTCACAAATTGAGGCAAGTTTAAAATATACTAACGGGTACATCAGAGAGGTGGCCACAGCAAGAGGAGAGAAGCTTTTCTATGTGCTTCTGTGGTGGCTTGGATGAAATCAGCCTCATAGGCTCATATGTTTGAATGTTTGGAAGGATCAGAAGGTGTGGCCTTGTTGGAGGCAGTATGTCACTTGGGGTGGGCTTGGAGATTTCAAAAGCTCATACTGTTCACCTTAGCTTTCTCTCCCTTTCCTTCCCTGCCTCTCTCTGCCTCATGTTTGTTCGTCAGATTCAGCTCTCAGATATTGCTCACTAGCATGTCTACCTGGTGTCCTGCTTCCTACCATAATGGTCATGAACTCTTCCTCTGAAACTATAAGCAAGGCTCCAAATTAAATGCTTCCTTTTACAAGTTGCCTTGATCATGGTGTGTTTTGTCATAGCAACACAAGAGTAACTGAGACAGCCTCAAATTCTATCTGATGACATTCTTAGTTTGGGGGTTGGTGGAAGCTAGTAGTTAGTTAAGTTAGCAGTAAGAGGTTAAAACTCATCTGATACAAGGTAATTAACCTCTGGAAGATGCTATCCAAACCTCTGCACATCACTGTTTTTAATCAGTTAATCAGTATTGCAGACAAAGCTTCTTTCTAGTATTTATTATTTACAAATTCAGAAAGCATTTTCAAAGTTGAATAAATAAAGCAATATGTGAGTATTCATCAAAAGTTCAGATCTAGAATCTTCTTTATATTTAATGTGAATACTAGTGAGATATCTGGAAATGTGAATTCTAATAAGTACCTCCTGGCTAGTTATAGTAAGAACCTGGGAGTCAGACAGATCCCTGATAGTCAAACAGACAAAGAAGGAGGGCTCTGTGTGACTTCATGTACTTACACATTTAAGATGCCATCTTCCTGATTCTTCTCCCTTTCCAAGACAAAGACTTGGTGAAATGTATTCCCTGTTTCATAGGCCTTTCTTTGGGTAGCACTTGTGGTGAGAACCAATCAGCTTCCCTTTCTTTGTCTGGATTATCCAATCCCCTCTGACAGCCCAGGTCATCCAATTCTGAGGGAATAGGCAACCTATTGAATCATCAAACAAACTTTTGGCTTTTTGTGGACACTGTATGAGGTACCCTCTCTACCTATGGGAGTATATATCTGTCTTCTTTGCTGTGCAAGTGTATTTCAGCTTTCAATAAAATCTGGCCAAGTGCTGAGACCTTTCTCTTCCCACCTCTTTATTATTTAAACCAGCAGAGAAGATTACTGTGTTCCTCTAACTCACCTCACCATGATGGGGTCAGTCGGGAGCCTATTTTGGATGCACACAAGGTCAGTTCTTGCCAAGACCACAAAGGATTTGGAGAGTGCCCTTGTAAACTTCCAGGGCCCCTCTAATGTCTTGGAATGAGAGGAAGGGAGGTGGTGATAGCTGAATCCTAGACTGATATTTTTGTTTCTTCTCCTTTCTTTGAAAAGCTAGCAAGAAAATGTTCCCCTTCCCCACAACCCCAACTCCAATGCCTGTGTACTGGAGAGCAAAAGAATTCTTCCAGATAGTTCTTGCTGAAATTACTTGTTGTAAGTACTTACTGAAAGTTCTTACTGTCCAACCAGCAGCCAGTCCTGTGGGCTGAAATTCATGATTTCCTAGCACTAGTCCCTGAGCTCTGGCTTTAGGAAGACTACATCAATTTACACCAAGGAAACTGAGTTTTAGTATTTCATCCTGTTATACATAATCTTTCTGGATCGTTTTAATCTTCCTTCTCTATTTTCGCCTCCATAGTTTGAGCCAAAATTAAAGGGACTATTAACAAGGAGGTTAAGGATGTGCAAAAGTTCTTTAAGAAAGTTGACTATGGCTAGATGGTGGTGGTACTCACCTTTAATCCCAGCATCCAGGAGTGGATCTCAGTGAGTTCAAGGTCAGCCTGATCTACAGAGCTAGTTCCAGGACAGCCACGACTGTTACACAGAGAAACCCTGTCTTGAAAAACCAAAAAAGAAAAAGAGAAGGAGAGGAAGAAGGAAGGGAAGAAAGAAAGAAAGAAAGAAAGAAAGAAAGAGAGAAAGAAAAAAGAGAGAGAGAAAGTTAACTATTTAATGATATTAATGTAGTTTGATAATCCTACCAGAAGCTTGTGACTGAGACAGACCTAAGGCCTGACTTACTCTAGGGTGTAATCACACTGTGAAACCTGACCAAGGTGCTGGGCCAAAGGTAGGAGGGCTGGGAAGGCACATTGCTGTAAAGGGAGAAAAAGAACAAAACCAAACACACACCAGCTCCTTTTCTTAGAAAATGAGTGCGAGAGCACATTGCCTAAGAAGGCATTGGGGCAACATTCTTTAAGGATGCCTGAGAAGTTACTCTCAGCCTGAAAACGGACAAACCTTTTGTTTCTTTTTCATTTCCTGTATCCCCTATCCTTTCTCTGTCCTTCTGCAAAAAGATCAGGGAGACCTTAAGACATCTGACGCTCTCCATGTTCCATTTCCCTGGAGCACCACCTCCTTACCTTCTTCTTCTTCTTCTTCTTCTTCTTCTTCTTCTTCTTCTTCTTCTTCTTCTTCTTCTTCTTCTTCTTCTTCTTCTTCCTCTTCCTCTTCCTCTTCCTCTTCCTCTTCCTCCCGCTCCTCCTCTCCCTCCCTCCCCCCTCCTCCTCCTTCTTCTTCTTCATTCTTTCTTCTTCTTCATATTATAATACAATTACATCATTTCCCCTTCCCTTTCCTCCTTCCAAATCCTCACATATACACCTCCTTTCTCTTTTTCACATTCATGACATCTTTTTTCAATAATTGTTGTTAAATGCATATATATTCATGTATATGTATTGTGTTCTGTCTACAAACCAGAAGGGGGTACCACATCTTGTTACAGGTGGTAGTAAACCACCATGTGGTTGCTGGGAATTGAACTCAGGACTTCCGGAAGAACAGCCAGTGCTCTTAACCTCTGAGCCATCTCTCCAGCCCCATGTATATGTATTGTGTATACATATATTATTAAATATAAACTGTTCAGTCCATATAATGTTATTTGCATACATGTTTTCATGGCTTACTTTTTGGCGTTAGATAACCAATTGCTGTGCTCTTCCCTGGGTAAGGGTATTTCTCTCTCTCTTAGTGTTTCTTAGTTGCCTGTATTAATGACAAAGCAAGTAAGAAGAGTGTCTCTAGAGGGCTGGCCAAGGTGAGCCATTTAGAGATCATGCCACTTGTAGCAGAAATAATGCAGAAAGTTTATTGGGGGAGGGGAAAGAGAGGAAGGCTTGTCTCAGACTGGGGGCATAGGAGAATGAGAATAAAAGAGCAAGAGAGTTACCCTCCCAGGTGCAGGCTGTCGCTTGTTCAGCCTACTATTTGAAACGCCCTGGGGTTCCCGTCCTCTGTTCATGAGACAGGAAGTCACTTTAGTCTATGTTTCCTCAATATTAGGATCCTAGGCTAATTTTTGGGAGAAGAGGAAGAGTTCTATCTGTGGTTGAGAATTCCTGCAAAGATTCTGTGTTTGCAAAGGCAGATTGATCGACTATAATTGGAGTGAAGTGGAGAGGTTGGGGGAGTTTCAGATGCAAACCTAATCGCCGTTTACCTTCAGCCATCTTTAGCCCCCTAATTTAGCCATTCTTTGTCCACCCGTGTGCCTGTCTGTCAGACTCAGCCTGCGACTAACGGATGAAAATTCTTTGGAATGTATTAACTTAAAAAAAAAGATTTTTTTCTTTTAACCATAGCTGCTTTGTGTGCGGAAGCCTGGGAGAATATTCTCAAGGGAATTTTCCGCAAGGCTCTGGCCTGCCACGGGACAGGTCATGGTGGACCTTATAGAAGAGCGCCTTCTGCTGGCAAGGTTTAGTTTCACAGCATCCCCTAGAAAGGGACTGAAATTAAAACCAAGTCAGTGACAGGAAAAGGGACTGAAGTCAGTAACATTTGCCTGGTACTGCCCTCTCTTTAAGTTCCACTGTCCAGTTTTACTCTATGCTTATACTCAGCACTTTGTGCCTGTGAAGAACTGAATGTTAGAACTGTAGGGATTGGGGTGGGCTACTTATCGTCGGTAATGGTGAAACAGTATCTCCCCATTCTAGAAAGGCTTTTGAAATCTGTGTTGAGTATGCACATTGGCGTTTAAAGAACTTTATATAGCTAAATCTCTCTGTCTCTCTCCGACACCCCCTGTCCCGTGTGTGTGTGTGTGTGTGTGTGTGTGTGTGTGTGTGTGTGTGTGTGTGATATTTTAAACCTAGAACTCCTTTGAAAGAACATCTATCTGAGAACTGGGGGCGGGGCGGCAGGAATCCCCATCTCTATGGTATCCGTGGGCAAAGCTTTCTCTGTGGAAGTTCAGACAGGCAAGTAAAGATATCTTCCCCCACACTAAATTAAATAAAAGTACAAGTCCGTTTTACTATAACTGATTGGTGGCACATGCCTTTAATCCCAACACCCGGGAGGCAGAGGCAGGCAGATCTCTGTGAGTTCGAGGCCAGGCTGGACCGACAACCTCCAAAACAATACAGAGAAACCCTGTCTCGTAAAAACCAAAAAAAGAAAATTCTTGAACTAACGATGTGAAAGGTTGTTAAAACTTTACTTACCAAACATGGTGGTGCGTGCCTTTAATCCCAGC